AGGAGTCCCCACCCAGTCCTGCCTGCGGTGCCGTGCCGCATGGAGCCCAGCTTCCCAGGGGACAGGCCGGGAGGGAAAGGGTCTCCACTGACGGGCTGTCGTCGACCTCTGACCCCTGCCTCCCACACCTGAAAAGGGTATGGAGGCCAGAGCCCAGGTGTCCCTCATTCGGCAAATGCCTGCGTTCTCAGACCACCCCTCGCCTCTCCGGGCGCTTCTGTCCCCGCCGTACCGGCCCGGGAACGTCTCGCTACCGTGGACCTCTCGGATGCTTTCAAGAAACATTGGAAGTGTGTTTTACCCGACAGGTTCTGTGGTTTTAGAGAGACAGTAGGTCCCACCAACCCCGTCTGCCAGGTGGCGAAGCGGAAGGCCCGCCTCCTGACCGGGGCTGTCCCGTGCTGTGGAATCGCGCGAGGTTCACAGCACACGCCTCCCGCCGTGGAGCCGTGGCTCCCACAGCTGTGCGCCCCGAGTCTGCACCAGAAGGACGTTGTGCTCACCGAGGTGCCCCCCTTCACCAGCTCTCCTGTCCTCCCCCAGCTGGCCGGGGTCCTTCTGCCGCGCTTCCTCCCGGGAGGGCCCTGGGGACGTCCCGTCCTGGGTTTTCCCAAGCTCGAAGACATTTGGCTGTCGCTCTATTTCCTCAGAGGCGGTTTGGACAGTGAGAACTGAGGGACCACACTGTCCTCCCCCAGCACTCGTACCCACGTGCCTCCTCGCTCTGCTCCCGAGAAAGCTGCAGCCGGCTTTCCTCCCACTCCGGGGATCTGGGGACGGACGTGTTTGGGTGTGGGTGACGCTCACCACTCCCCGTCCTCAAGGTCCACTGGCTTCCCTGGGCTGCACCTTCATGGTGGGGGGGTCTGACTCATCTCCCCCAGGGAAACACCCGCCCTCTCGACCCCCGGATTTGACTCCTTGCACATTACACCTGAGTATTGTTTTCTGCCTTTACTATTTGCTCAGATTCCGCATGTGATGCCATTTATGCATGTGTTGTATCACTTTTCTCTCGATCGGTCGTTTACTGTCTGCCCCCCACCCCGACCTTGAACCCCGTCAAGCGGGACCCCACAGCCCTGCCTGGGTTTGGTACCACTAGCTTGGTCGTAAGATTGTGTCGCTGCTTTCTTTCCTTCTTCCCCTTTTCTCCTCGCTGCTGCCAGCTCCCTTCTGATTTTCCGACGTATATGCTTTCTCTGGGTGGGGTCTTAGTTTGCCTTTTTATCGTGGCCCCTCACTTCCTTTTCCTTGCAATGGTTTTGTTTAAAGGAGCAGCGTTCTTCCCAGGGAACGAGCTGCAGGACAATTAAAGGCACGGCCAGGCCAGTGCTCGGGGCCAGCTCCACGTGGCCCGCCTCACGGAGGACACTGGACAGGCGGCTTTGAGGGATGGTGGTGGGCTGGCCCCCGTGCTCTCGCGCGGGCTGACCCAGGGCCCTCTCCGAGGCTGCAGGCCTGCACAGATGTCCGGCCCGTGTCTGCGTGGCTAGCTGCGTGCTCAGCCCCGACGCTGCATGTTCTCGCTGGTGTCCCCTCCTGTTCCAGCCTGGGCAGACCGCTTCCCTCTGTCCTCTGCCGGCGGGGTCTCTCCTCACCCTGGCCTGCCGGGGACTCTGCGTCCTTTCCACATACACTTGGGGCTCTACATTTTCCTCAGAGGTGGAGTTTCGCTCCTTTCTGTGCCTTTTCCTGACTGTTTTCAGCTAGTTTTAGACAGAAGGTGCCGGAGACACCTTGCAGCTGGGTGTAAACTGGGGTGCTCTGTTAAGAGAGCAGTTTTGTCGAGAGCCCCACTTGTCCTGAACAGACAGCACAGAGGGTCTGAGGCATCCCCCCACCCCCACCCCTCGGGGCGAGTTTCCTCCGGGGGTGCATTCCTCGTGGGGCCGGAGGCGGGCTGCCCCCCGGGGACCGCGCAGCTGCATCGGGATCCCTGTGACATCCTCCTGGGATGGCACCCTGTGGTCCCGGGGAGACCACTCTGCACGAGCAGGATGCATTCACTCTTGCTTCTCGTGCGGAAGGAGCTACTGGTTGAGAATTCTTCGTGCTGATGGGCAGGGCAAAGGGCTGTGTCCGTGTCTGGAATGTCGTCTTCAGTCCTCTGTAAAACCGGCAACACGTGCTTGCCGCCAGAACGTGAGCTGGTCGTGGAGAACCGGAGCAACTCTGCAGTGCGTCTCGGTTTCCCTCCGGCACCTAGGGGCTGAAAAGGGGGAGGAGCGGGGGTCCGGATTCCTCATTTTCTTGTTTAAAATGAAACGAGGGAGTATTCACTGAGTGTGAGCAGCCTGGCCGGGGGCGTGTCCCGGCTCCCTGCAGGGGATGCCCTGTGGCCGGGCCAGGCCGGGCCCCTGGGAGCCCCCAGGCTGGGTGTTGCAAGGCCCGCGTGAGAAGCCAACCCTGAGAGGGAGTGTGGGAGTCCTGCCCCTTCCTCTGAGGCCAGGGGCTCCCTGGGCCCCCGTCACCACGCCTGACAGCTGACCAGTGCGGATAGACCCGCTGTCACGGACTCCACTGTCCCCTTGGGCCATTTTGTCCCCGTGAGTCCTGCTAGGAAGCAAGTCCCCCACCCCAGCTGCCTCCTGAGCATTAGTCGGTGTCCAATTCCGTCAAAACCGTGTCCTGGGCACAGCAGGAGGGCGGGGACCGGTACCTTTGCTGACCCCCAGGTGTGAAGTCAGAACTCTCCATCGATGTCTCAATAGCTTGGCCTGTCGTCACCGTAGTGACCATATAATTTACCCTCCCACCCAGCCAGGACACAGCTGGGAGCATGGGATTAATAATTAAGCAGAGCCATAAACTTAAATTGGGAACAGCCCAGGCAAACCAGAATGAATGGCCAACCTAATTATCTCCTAAGTTTCTGTGATAAATCCAAGTATATTGTGATCCATTATAACCAGTGACTCACTTTTTCTCCAGTATTGCAATAAAAACCTGACTTTATCTTTAGATAGTTACTCATACTTAGCAGCAAAGCTAGTGTCGTTCCGTAATGAATTATTTAACCCTCGGAGTCTTTCAATTTTATGGGCGCATGCATTCGTTTTTACACTGCACGCTAATATCTTGCTCGCGGTTCCCGGCCCTCGTGGGAAACGGAGCTTGGTTTATTGCCGCAGTTTATTACGCGGAGCTGGTTGGCAGGGTCACGGCGCCTTCAGAGGGTAGATTACTCCATCGGTAACAGTGCAGGACCCGTGCGCCACGCCCGACGCCGCGTGCCCGGCCCTGCGCGGAGAGCTTTGCTTGGGCGCGGATATCGGCAGGTGACGTCTCACGTCGTCCTCGCGTCAACCCCGGGAGGAAGGTGCTGTCACTGTCCTCTCTCTGCGGCTTAGAGAAGTGAGAGGGTGCACCTGTGCCTCGGGCCGCATGCAGAGCGCGCCGCCCCGCAGCCAGCCCGCCGTCAGGGCTCGCTCCGCGGGCCTGCGTCCCCGCGGAGGGATGCGCTCAGGTTCCTAGTCCGCAGCCGGTTCCTGTTTCCTTCAGTGAGAGCCTCCGCAGAAACGCCCCTTCCCCGTCTGTCCCCTTCCGGTCCCCATCTGCCGGCTGCTGTCATGTGGCGTGCTTCCCACCCGGCCGTGCCCACAAGCTCCGGGGGGTGGCTGCCTCCCTCTCTGTACAAGGACACGCTAAATGGCGGTTGTCCTGCTGCGTGCTTTCGCGTGAGCTCCGGCCGCCGAGGAACTGTCGCTTTGGTGGGATGAGTCCTGCCGGGCACTCATCGGCTCTCGTGTTCTCAACGCGCCTGCGCGCTCCTGGGGGCGTGGGATGCTGCGTGCTGGGACCGGGAGTTATTCTAGATCGCCCCCCAGGGGGCTGTCCTGTCTCCCTGGGGCTTCTAGCACCATTCCCTGGGGACGGTCTGGGCTTTCCCGGCACTGCCAGCACCGGGTTCCCAGCCCGGCCCCGGGGAACCCCCCTGTGTGAGTGGCCAGGATTGGTGGGAGGGGGTCCCAACAAACATGAGTGACTTGTCATTTCACTGTCCTACTCTTGCTGCTGGTTTTCTCCTATTTCTATTAGGCACTTTAAAATGTGTGGCGTGAAGGAAGGCTGGTGTGATTGACCGTTATCTGTGTTCTGGGGGCTTCCTAGGAACTAGTAGTCTAACAGGGCTACGTCCGAGAGAGGCCTGTGGTCTCCCATTTTACAGAGGGAGAAGTTGAGGTTCAGTGACAGCAAGGGGGACCTTCCGGGTAACAAAGCGTCGGTCTCCGGCGAGAACCCGACTGGACTCCTGCTGGCTCCCTCGCTGGTCCCCGGCCCGTGTCCCATGTCTCCGTCAGTGTCCTCAGAGAGCCACCGCCGTCCCTCGACCTGGGGGTCCTGGCCGTCATCTCTTGGCATCACTTTCCAGACGAGTCTGTCAGTGTTTGATCAGACACTTCGAGCGCATTTTGGAGGTGCAGCTTGTGCGTATTTCACGGGCGCCTGCACCGACCTCTGGCGCACCGACCTCACCCAGACGGGTGGCGGCCACCCTCTTCAGCCAATCCATCCACAGGTGAACAGGTTCCGTCGTGTGACTCTGGAAAACCGGAAGATGTGAATGGGATGTTGAGAAAGTTGGTCACCGCCTTCTCCTTGTTGTAGGCCTTCACAAGTTGGAAAGACACCCAGGGACACAGGCAGGTTTCTAGCCCCTGGGGACACCGGCCCCGAAACGCCAGCCTCAGCCGTCTGCCCAGGCCTGCGGGCAGCAGGGCCCTGCAGCCCCGCCCCTGGGTGCGTGGGACCACCTGGTGCAATGGGTGACTCGAGTGCTGGCGAGACCTTGGCGGGGAGACCCCCGAGGCTCCACCTGTGCGATGAGAACATGTGTTCAGGAAGTGCACCCAGAAAAGGGGACCTGGGCCACACGGCCACTTACCTACCGTGCTCCACCCCCCACTTTAAGGGGGACACCCGTGGCCCCAGAGGCCAGTGTCTTGTCTCAGTTCACAGCAGTGGGTGCTCACCCAGCATCTCGTGGTTCGTTGCAGGGAACTCGGAAGCCGAACCCTCCCCAGAAGCCGCTGCCTGCAGACCCTCTGAGCAAGGGGGCCCGGCTCAGCCACGCCTCCGCCAGGACCCCGGGGCAGCCGGAGTCCGGGCTCTGCCTGGCCCCCCTCAGGTCGGTGAGACACAGACACCCCTCCTCCTCCTCCTCTTCCTCCCCCGAGCCGTGTGGGGCCGCTGCGTGAAGCTGGGCTTTCGGATCATGGCAGGATGGGGGGCGGTGGTCTGGGCCCGGGTTCCTGCACCCCCACACCTGGGGGCCGCTGCGAGCCTGTGATCCCAGATGCGACCACATCGCCCTTAGCGATGGCCCCAGCGTGTCCAGGAGAAGTAGGCAGTGGTGGTGGCTGCTGAGATGGGCCACCAAGGGATGCAGTACCGTGAGGGCAATCCCATACTTCCAGAACAATTATGGTCCTTGGCAGGTGCTGTCCCCTGCCCCCCGGCCCTAGCAGTGCGGTGGGGTTGGAGGGACAGTGAAAGCTGAGGGGCTGGCGACGGGGAGTCAGGCGGGCGAAGCCACGAGGCGGGCCGAGACCCGGTGCACGTGGGAGCTTCTCGGGACAACAGGTGGAGGGACCACCATACAGACCCTCTGCAGCCGTGCTCGCCCCCGCCCCTGTCCCCCAGAGGACGGGAAGGCCTCGTCCTGCACCCCGACTTACTGGGGGAGGCGCACCGGTGGGGCCCTGAAGCCAGCCTGCCCCGGTTTTCAAGGGCCAGTTTCCAGGAACTGGGCAAGCGGGGCGCTGAGCCCAGCCTCCGCCGAGAACTGTGTTGGGCGCGTCCGGTGGCACGAGTTGTGTTTGAAACGAGATGCCGTGCGTGCACACACACCCTCTTCCGCTCTCGACCACGTTTTACCGCCACCTGCGTGCTGGGGTCACCTGCACCTGTTGTCTCCGCGTGGTGGCCACCGCCCAGCTCGTCCCAGTTCAGGAACGTGGCGTCGGTAGCCCGGTCTGTGCCCTTGGGGACAGGAGGGTGCGGCGGACCAGGCCCCCACCCCCGTCCGCCCAGTGCACAGGCGGGTCACACCGTCCCCCGTCTCGCATGCCAACCCCCTGCAGGCAGCCAAAGATGGGGGTACCTGGGTTCGGTGCTTCAGTGTCTCTGCGGGGGGGGTGCCTGTCGGTGACCTCACGACAGCTGTGGGGGGCAACGCCTGGCCCGGGAAAGCATTCTCTGCCTCATCAGTCGCAGAGAGGAGGCCGGGCGGAGGGTCAGGACGGCGCTCTGACGCCCTCCCCCCGGCCGGGGGAACGCAGACGGGTCACCAGTCCAGTGGGCGAGCATCCGGGTGCTCTCACTGCGGTCCGGTCCGTACGCGGGCCATAAAGTCCCCTTCCTCGTTCAGAAGAACCGCCACCTTCTCCTTCGGCCTCTACAGACTGAAAACCCACTTTGCGTGGGCATGCCCCGGGGACAGCCCTCCGGCGGTGGCCGCCCACCTCGGCCGCTGCTGACTCAGTGCTCGCCTGGGTGTCCCTGTCCTGGGAGGAGGAGGACACTGCACAGTGCCTCTGGGGTGGGGGGGTCCCACATGCCCGGCTCCCCTCCCCACAGGCACACTCTGGCCGGTAAAGACGAGATAGGCTGTGAGTGCAGATCCACTCTGGATTGTGAAGATTAAGTGCCCCCCCAAATACCAACTATCAATAACTCCTTAAGGTGCTAAATGACAGCTGGGGCTCACTCCCCTCCTGCCCCTCTAGCGCCCACTTGTGGACGGGAGGGGCAGCTTCCCAGAGGGCACCTCTCCTGGTCTGAAGTCCCCAACTGCTGGGAAGCCTGGTCCCTTAGGGGGTCTGCAGCCCTGCTGAGGCCCAGAGCAGGCCCCAGGCCCCAGAGCAAAGGGCTGGTGTCCGATCCCAGACTCGCGTCCGAGCGCAGGCAGAGACCGCCCACCCAGGACGCCTGTGCCCACCCAGACGGCTTCCCTCGGAGGCCTCTGACTCTGGTTTCTTTTTCCTCCTGAGGCAGAACAGCTCCCAAACGGCCACACCCAGTGCCCAGGCCCGCCCACCCCGCCTATGCAAAGTGAGAAGCCAGCCGACACTTTTCCACGGTGAAGACAGAAGTTTGCACTACCTTTCAGCTCCGGGCGGAGTTCCCTTTTTGTACCAACTTTTAGAGTTTTCATGTCGACACCACCGCTACTTTAGGAACTCCGAGCTCCCGCCGCCAGCGCGGCGCTCCGTGAGCGTGCTCAGGTACCTGTAAATTATTAATTTATGCAGCTCGCCCGGCGCGGCACGGCGCGCCGTCTCGGGCGGTCCACCACCACGGGGTTTTCCGCGGAAGGAAGGCGTCTCGTGCTTGTACTAGCCGAGTGAACTTGAAATGCCACGCTTGACGGGACTCCGGACAGGAAGTGGCCTTCAGATCGAGGCTTTGTTGGCGAGCAGCCCCCGCACTGGCCGGGGCTGTGGTCGTGGGGCCGGACGCGGCTCCGGAGACCCCAGGTAGAACCTCGCATGATTTTCTGGAACCTGCCCCCTCAGGCCGGGGCGGGGGGCTGCAGGTCCAGGCCGTGCTGGGCCCACCGGGGACTCCGCCTCAAAGGTCCAGGAGGGCAGGGGAGGGTCCGGCTTCTGACCAGGGAGCTGTGGAGAGAAGCTGGGTTTCAGAGAGGAGTTGGGGGGTGTGGCCCCACCAGGTCGGAGACGGGAACACCAGGCCAGGCTAAGACTTGACCTTGAGCTCACCGGCCATGAGCCTCTTTGGACAGCAGGCCACGAGGTTGGCTTTACAGGAACACCAGCAACTCCTCCTGCCTGCGGCCGCCTTGGGGAGCCGCCCTCAGCACCTGATTCGGGTGGGAAAGGCGGGGTTTCCGCGAGGACCCTCTGCGAGCCCTGCGGCCCCATCCCCCTGCCCCCGCACTGTTGGGGGCTCGGCGAACCACCACCCCGTCCTCTCCCCTAGAGCACGGGGACTCCGTGTTCAGACAGACAGAGGCGGCTCTCCACGGGGCCGTAACTACGTGCAGATGTGACCCAGTGCCCAGACCTAGTGAATCATTGCTGTAGATAAAATCTCCCTTCGTTGCAAGGTTCAGCTTATTAAAAATTAGGCAGAAGCCCTAAGCTTGCAAAAACGACAGCCAAATGCAACGCCGCACTCCCTGGTGCCGGCTGCGCCTGCGTCTGCTTATTAGCATCCGTTGGCTGAAGAACTGTAAGTTACCAGTGAGTTCTTTGGGACAGGGGGTGGGGGGCACCCTGTTTCCAAGCCTGGCTGCAGGGATTTTTAAAAGATGTTTCGAGCACAGAGTCTGAATCTGTTAAACACTCGCCACCTACCCGTTGAGCACCGCGGAACGCGACGAGGAGATGAATGTCTCGATCCTCAACAGCCACGAAATGCGGTGTGGGGGCAGCGGCCCCTGCAACCGCTCGCTCTTCGGGCGCCCGGCTCGGGAGCCACGTCCACGAGGAGGCCGTGGAGACACCCACGTCTGGCGGCAGGGAAGGTGGGAAGTGCTTAGGCAGCGCAGACCGCCACTGTGCCTCTGCCCCCGCTTGGGCCGCGCCACCGGAAGGCGGCCGCCGACAGCGGTCCCATCGTGCGCTCTGCTGTGCGGTGAGGGCTCCGTCCGGGGTCCTTTTCCCTGGTCCCTCTCTGCCTTGACACACAAAGACAAAAGGTGCCGAGAATCCCGGTTTGCCTTCCTGAAAACAGGCCTGCGTTTCACTCTCTCCCGCTCCCCGCCGTCTCTAGGCAACACCATGTTCATGATCGTGGGTACCGAGTCCACGTCTCACACACACACACACACACACACACACACACGGGAAACCGGCGAGGCCCCATGCCGGCTCTCGTGGCGTCTGTTTATTATGCAATTATTTACTTCTTAAAAAATGCAAATCCGTGTTGGAGAACAGGACGGCTGAGGCGTCTGGACAGAATTACTGGGACTGCCGTTACATTTGCTGATCGTATTAAGGCCAAAACATACTGTTGAAAAGTTTACAGAATTTTCACGGTGCATCATGTGGGGCTTTGCGGACGCCCACAGCCTTGGCCGCGGCGTCGGAGCCCCTCCTCCCGCTGGGAGGCGGAGGCCGGGAACTCCGTGTGTGGGTCCTCAGCTCCGGTTCCCGCGCCGCCTCAGGGAACCGGGGACGGTCTGACGGCCGACGCAGCTAATGCTGTGACCCCCGAGTCTCGTTGTCACTGGCCACTGCAGGGGCGCAGCCGGTGGCCCTTCCTTGTCGCTGCAGTCCTGATCGCTTTTCTAGAGCCATGCACTGTATCCCTGGGTAAGAATGTATCTAACCCTCACGGCCCCTTCCCGTGCACAGGTGCCACTGTTAAAGGGACAGTGCTTCCCAGATGCAGTATGTAGCGACTGAGCAGACTTAGCAATAACTCCTCTTTTACTCTAACTTAGGAAAGGAAACAATAGCCAGGTTTTAGCGGGGGGGGCGGTATGCCTCCCTCTTTTTATATTCTCACAGACGATGGAAACGAAAACCAATACTCATCTTTCAACGCAGCCTGTTTTTCCCATTGTTTGAAGGTGTATAGACGTGCGTGATGGAGTTGATTTGCGTTTCCACGGCCACCGCCGAGAAAGCCGATGTGCAGGGACCCACAGTGGGCCCTGGGGGTCTCCGCTCCGCTCCCCCCGACTCACGGTAGCCGAGGTTACGTGCCCCCACTTTCCTGGTGAGGACGGGGCTAGCCTTCCGGGTGTGCTGTTCCCAGATTTATCTCCTCAGTGGTTTTGTAACAGTTTGTTTTCCTGACACGTGGAGTCAGATGTGTAGCAACCAAGAGAAACAATGTCTAACATTTTCCATTGTCGAGCAATGTGCACACGGAGGCCCGCCGCACTGCCCACTGTGAATTTTTCCAGCTCACACACGTGGGGTGACATCACAGAAACCACACGGGCCACAAGTTAAATGACATGAGAGCAACTACTCCTCACTGGCCTCGGGGGGGATGTTTTCATGCCTCCTCAGCTGGATGAGGCGTTCTCAGGCTGAAGGCAGAGACCACTGTTCTCCGGCAGATCAGCACCACGCAGCGGCGCTGCTCCGGGAGGAACGGCAAACGCTCCAGCCTGGGACAGAGAGTCGCTGGGAGCCGTGGCCCCCACGGTGCAGGCCAGCTCAGGGCTGGCCAGGTGGCGTGCCCACACATCCCTGCCGCCTCGCACCTGCTGTGTCCTGAGCCAAGGAGACCCGAGAGGCTGGGATGCCGGGGCTGCTGGGCGCGCTTTGTCCCGCAGCTTCTCACTCTGCAGCCCCGCCCCCTGAGACTCGTGTCCTCGGACACTTTGGCTACGGGGGGCTCCCCTGGGTGTTCTGGGACCAGGAGCCTGGGGCTGACTTAGAAAACCCTTCCTCACTGCCAAACACAGGTGACCCAGATACACATCACACTAACCCGCCCCAGCGGCTCCCGGTGCCAACGCCGACACCCAGGTGCGACTCTCAGGCTGCGGCTTTCACACACTGCAGCTGGCTGGTGGGGGCATGGCGGGGACCGCCTTTTCCCCTTCCCTCCGCCTCAGAGGCCGGCCCTCGGCTGCTGGCTCCTCCCCGCGACTCACGGGCAAGTCCCTCAACACACCTGGGGGCCCAGGTGGCCAAGGCTGACGCATCCATTTGCCTCCCAGACACAAGCTCTCCCCTCAGACCAAGCCCAGGGCTCGCGTCTCTCCAGCCCCCGATGGCCCCTGCGTTCCTCTGTGGCCACTTCGGGACAAAGCAGTGACTGCTGGGGCGGCTGCTGCCCCCACCGGCCACCCACCAGGCGCGTAGGGCCCAGCCTTCTCAGGGCTTCGGCTCAGAGCTACCCCAGCAGCCACCCGGCCGGCCTTGCACCCCGGAGAGTCCTTCCCCCGGGCCCAGCCCCCATGGTGACCTCCGCCCAGAGACTCCCCCTCTGCAGCCCTCCTCGCTTCTGCTTCTTGTAAACCTGACAGTGACACAGAGCACACGCTAGGCACCTCCCGTGAGGCTGAGAATCCCGTCTGCAGGGTGAGGGGCTCCCGGACGCCACTCACCTGCACGTGAACGCGCCGTCCCCTGCCTTTCGTAAGGACGACCTCCCCCTTACTCGGGGACGGCAGCGGCAGCGTGTAGTCCGGATGCTGAGAGCCGTGTCCTGTGAGGGGAACTAGGAGGAGCGCTGCAGGTGAAGCCGACAGACACAATGCGCAGCCAGCGAGGACAGCCGCGGCTGGAGGGTTCGACTCACCGTTCAGGTTCTCCGTGGGACTCCGTCTGCCGGGCTGGACACTCCGTGACCCCCTCGACCCTCCCCGTTGTCTTCGAGCCCAAGTCCTGTGTCCCCTCTGCCGTGGGCCCCCCTTCCATCAGATACGTGTTAGCCGTCAGGATAGCCACTGTAGGTCAGACGAAAGAAACGGTCAACACAAGGGGGTCATTTCAGGTTCCCAGGGAGGTGGGGCCACGCCCACGTTCCCGGCCTGCAGGCAGGCACTCCGGTGGGACAGTGGCTGGAGCAAATGTGTCCAATCAGGAAACAGGAACCCCGCTGAGTGTCCCCGGCAGGACAGGCAGGGCCGGGCTCGGGGGGTCCTCTTGCACCTTCTTCCGTGGGGTCCCTCTGGGAGCCGGGGTGGGGGTCGGGGCGCCCCGAGGGGGTGGGCGTGCCTGGCCAAACCGGGCTGCGCGCGACTCTGCACAGCGCAGGGGGCCCCGCCCAGCCGGCACGAGGAGGACCGCGCGGCGCCTCCTCCCTCCCCGGTGGTGCTGGCGTTGGCTCCCTCTAGACGGTCGCCCGCCTTTGCATGTTACGGGCCGTCGCTTTTGCGCACACTCCTCCAGATGGCGCAGCCTGCTCTTCCCGTAGAAAAAGCCATTGTTACGACTATTATATCCAATAAATGGTATACAGGTCAATATAAAGACGCGTCCCGTTCCTTACTCCCGAACGGGGCAGGGGGAGGCTCCTGGAGGGGGGCGCGTCTGGGTTCTCATTCCCGGATGGAGACGGGAGGAAGGTTTGGAACCAGACACAGGGGACCGTGGAGCCAGGTGAGCTCGGGGCAGGGGGCCGAGCTGCGGTCCACACGACCCGGTCTGGCGACAGGACGGGAAGGCTTTCCACAGACACACCTCGGGGCGGGGCCAGGTGAGGCAGGGCGGGGTGGGGTGGGGAAGGGGCGGGGCAAGGTAGGGTGGGCGGGGCAAGGTAGAGTGGGGCGGGGGCGGGGCAAGTTAGGGTGGGGCGGGGGCAAGTTAGGGGCGGGGGCGGGGGTGAGGTGGGGGGGGCGGGGCAGGGGCGGGGCGAGGCGGAGTCGGGCGGGGCAGGGGCGGAGCAAGGCGGAGTCAGGCGGGGCGGGGGAACCTGACACTCCTTTTGAACAAAGTGAACGCGAAACCTGTCAGAATTGAGTTTGTAATATCCGTCTTATTTACGGAAGAGAGCAATTCAAAAAGCCACCAAGCAGAAATAGAAACATTTGCAAGAGACTTATCCAGATTGAAAATCTAAGCGTAATACACATCTATTTACAATTTTAAAAAATAGCATCTAACTTCGTAACGAGCTGACGCAAATACAAAGAAAAGTGCGCTTACAAGAGGTAACAAGGTCTTTATATTGCCCCTTTGCCCCACACATGAAAATACAAGTAGGCAAAAAGTAAGCATATAGAAGACCTCAAACACAGTTAATAACGTAGTAGATCAAACTGATATGTATCAGATGAAATGCTTCACACACACAGAATATTATAATTTCTTTCAAAGGCCTCTGGAAATACATGTATACGTATTTATAATTTTGTATGTTAAGCCATGAAATAAATTCAAATTCCAAATACTACAGACAAATTCTCAAAGTTATAATGCACTAAACGCAGAAAGCCAGTCCTCTGCCCTGGGAATGTGAAAAATCAAAGGTGAGTTGCAAATTATCGAGAAAATGGCAAACGAAACCGTCTGTGTCTGCATATCTCCTACACTCCCTGAATGACAAGAACTCGCCAGCGGGGGGGGGGGGTGGCTCACGAGGACCGTCCTGCCCCTGGAGACCTTGCTCGGGGCTCTGGGGTGCGCCCAGACACTGGTGTCCGGGAGGTGCCCGCAGGGGAGCGTCCCATCGGGGGGGCTTAGCGTGCTCCCCGTGGGCACACGGCCGACACGGTGCCCGGGGGGAGGAGAAACCCTGAACTTCACATGTTCGTAAGCAAAAAGGATGAAAAGGAACTGAACATCCACCCTGAAAAGCTACAAAGAGACAACAACAAAAATAAGCCTAGGGGGAAAGAGAAGGAATGAATTGGTAGAAATAAAAAGTAGAAATGAATTGGGAAAAGTAAAACTAATAAAAAAGCAGGGGTGGCTTCTCTGGGCAAACTGAAACACAAGGTAAGCTACTGTCCAGTCCCACTAAGCAAAAAGGTAAAACACAAATGCACACAATGTGTGAGCGTGTGAAATCCAGAGTCCACGCGAACCTCAGCAATGCAAGGATGGTTCAATATTCAGAAAGCTAATAACCCTCCCTGGCTGGTGCGGCTCCGTGGATTGAGCGCCAGCCTGCAAGCCACAAGGTCACTGGTTCAATTCCCAGTCAGGGCACATGCGGGGTTGTGGGCCAGGTCCCCAGTGAAGGACATGTGATTGGCAACCAATCAGTGTAGCTCTCAAACATCAAACACCAGTGCTTCTCACCCTCTTTCGCCCTCCTTTTCCCTCTCTCCAAAAATAAATAAATAAAATCTTTAAAAGAATAAAAATCTAATAATCCAAGGCACCAAATGGACAGATTGCAGGGAAGCACGCCATGTTATGGTTGCCAGAGATGCTCAAGAGACAGCTGATAAAATTCAGAATCCATTCCACAGTTTCTAAACATCCGAATAAACGGAGGCTGGAAACCATAGGACTGGAGAGGTACTGGTGTCCTTTGGGGGACATTAAGTTCACAAACACCCAGCTGCACCTCGTGAGCAGCCGTTTGGGGCTAAGTCACGCGGCCACAGCGAACTACTGCTGAGCACCAGTCACGCTGTGACTTCCGGCGTGCAAGGGTCATTCTTACTCACGGGTCGTGTCCACGCGGGGTGAGCAGGGCCCTGGGCTCACGCAGCAGCCCCCGTCTGGGTCTCAGCTGGCCTCGCAGCAGGGGAAGGAGAGATGGTGGGGAGGTTCTTAAAACGTCTGCTCAGAAGGCAGGAGCCGTTCCTACTCCCATTCTGCTGACCGGGGTGAGCCGCCTGCTCCGGCCGAGCCTTCGGTCCCGAGGAGGAGGAGACGGGGTGGCCGAGGCTTTGTCAGGGAGAAGGGGTGGGTGCCCGCCTGCCGCAGGCGGGGCGGGTGAGCGAGGCCCACGGCAGACTGGGAAATGAAGGCCAGGTGCGCGCCACCGTGGATCTCGGGGGTGGTGCTTGGAAAGTCTTTTCCAGGAAGATTTAAAAAATCTGTGGCGAATGTAAAGGAACATGCATTTGTACGAAAGGGAAAACGCTAATGAAATACCCAAGGAGAGGACTCCACTCGACCCGAATATCTAATTCTAAGTTCTGTGAGCCGCGAGGAGTAAGGCCAAGATAGGCCAGCACCGACCGGTAAAACCGGCGCCGGCTCTCTGCGCCCTCGCCCCCAGCTCCGGTGCTTCTGTTGCCTTTCATTCGAGTTTCCTCGCAGGGAAAACCCTGCCCCCGTGTGACCTCCGTGGCAGGTCTTCTCCTGGGGCCGAGGTAACCAGCGTCTCTCGGGAGACGCCACCCACCCACGGCCTGCTACCTGCCAGCTCAGGTCGCCGCCTGCCGGGTTGAGGTTCCCCCACGTTCATGGCTGAGCCCCGACCAGCGGACCTCGCCCAGGTCGACTCCCACGTCTCCCCGCACTGCGCGGTCAGCCTCAAAACACGCTTCTGTTCAGAGGCCGAGTTTCACAGGCTCTTGGGCGAAGCGGTCAACCTGCCAGCAGGCCAGGCCTTCCGTGGCCGAGGCCTGAGGGATGCGCAAGCACGTTCTCGGGCGGGTCTGTCCGAGAGAGACCGACCCTCCGCCAGCCCCTCCGCCAGAGCCGCCTCGGAGTCCTGGACCGCGCGTGGAGTGCTTTGACGTGCGGCCAGCGGCTAAGGAGAGAGCTTGGCCCGTGGCCCCCTGGGCTGTCCGGAGGAGTGTCAGTCCGGGACGGAACGCCAGCCCGGGACACCTCCGGGAAGGCCTGCCCTTGGGCGGGCACGCTGCCCCTGAAACCGCGCGAGGGAGACCATTGCCACCAGGTCCCGGAGCGGCCCAGAGGTCAGCGTGGGGGCGGGGGCGGCAGGCGGGAGACCGTGTGTGTCTCTGAGTCCCAAAGGCCCGGGGCGCGCAGACGCCCCCGCGCCGCGGACGCCCAGGGACGACAGCAGAGCCCCGCGTGCTTGCGTAAAGAGGTGTATTTCACAGTGGGAGCGGCTGTGCGCCACAGAGGTCACGGCGAACCTTCCCCGGAGCAAACGCTCAAACGCGCGGCCCTCGGAGACGCGGACTCGCACGTCCCTGGGGGCGGCGGCCACGCTCTGCTTCCTGCCCCTCGGCTCTCGGAGGAGGGCAGCGCTCGGGTCAGCGGACGGAACGGACGGCTGGCTTCTTGGGCATCTGCCGCTTCTTCCTTTCTTCCAGCAAGGAGATGACGTTCTAGGCCAACAACAAGGACAGGGGGGTGTGACCCGAGGGCCCGGGTGTGTTTTTCTGAGCACTACGTGCGATAGGAGCCTGGAGAGGCGGAAGGAGCAGCCCACCTGTCTGTCAAACACCCTGGCCATCTCCAGGACGCCTTTGCCGAACTGGAGGAGGAAACAGCGGGGACGGCGTTACCCACGTGCGCTCTCTTCTCCCGGGGGAACAGCTCGGGAGGGCCCTCGCGCCCCTCACCTCGTTCTTCACGCTCGCGTCCGCCCCTTTGTCTAGAAGTAACTGGACCAACTCCTCGTGATTGTTCAGCACGGCCACCTGAGAAGCAGGCACAGAAGCCGGGCGAGTGGGCGCGGCCCTCTGCAGAGCCCCCCCTCCTCCAGGCGGCAGCAGCGAGGTGTCCCTGAGCTGGCAGGTCCGGGGGGGCGGGGGGGCACCGGCATCCTCAGAGCGGGGGCCACTGTGGCATTGCCAGATGGGCCTGTGTGCCGTCGCCCTGCAGCGAGGACGACTGTGGGGAACGGCAAGAGGACCCTGCCCCGCCCCGGCGGAGACGACCCGGGACACGCGAGGCCGGAGGGCGCAGCACAGACGGCAGCGCCCTCGCCGAGTTCACAGGTCTGTTTGGACCCCCCCCCCCCGTGGCCTTGGGGACGGGGTGGGCGATTCCGAAAGAAGGAGCTGTAACACAGACCACAGAAATAGGGTGCTGACGCCGTCCTGCCCGCAGGGAGAGGCCGGTGGGGAAGCACAGGGGACCGAAACCCACCGGCCCGTGGACAGAGAGCCCTCGCCGGGGGCCCCCGCACCACGGGCCCCCCCCACCGCCGGGCGAAGCCTACCATCAGCGGCGTCTTCCCGTCCTTGTCCCTCACATTCACGTCCGCCCCACCTTCGATGAGCAGGGAGGCCACCCGCTGGTCGCCCGAGACGGCGGACACTCTCATGAGGGGGGTCCAGCCGGAGCCAGTGTCCACAGCGTCCACCTGTGAGGAGGCCGCAGGGACGGGGCGCCATCCGGCTCCTGTTCCTGAACGGCGGTCGCCAGAGGCTCTCCCGGGACCCCCACTGCCCCGACCGCCCCCCCAGCTGAGGGCGGCCTTTCTGGGCTGGGGGGGGGGCGAGCAGGTGTGCTAACTGAACTCACACTCACACCCATGCAGGGAGAAGCGGCGGGAGGGCCCCCTTAGCGGGTGCTGCGGCGCCCCGGGACCCCCCCCCCCCCCCGAGGGGACTCTCGGCCACAGTTTATTCTCGCGGCAAGGGGCAGGGGGCGGGGGTAGGAGAGCGAAGCAGACACAATCGCCTCACTCCAGGCCCCCGGGGACCGCCTCGCTCAGCCCCGCCTGCCTGCCTGGCCTCACCGGCTGCCTAAATAAACGCCCTTTTGCTTGCTCTGAAATAGCTCTGTTAACCGCTGTCATCGTGTCTGGGGCCAGACAGCAACGTAGGCACGCCCCTTACACCTGTCCGTACACGCTCATTTTAAGGGGGAGCCCTACAGGGAAACACAGAGGGGGCGACCAGATCCGTGACACGAGTCCTGGCCCGGAGAGCCAGCTGACCCCGTGCTCTCGCCCGACACTGGACACTGTCCACCTGGCCATCGGAGGCCGTTGCCCACGACTGACACGACACTGAGGGCCCCGTCGGGGGCTGCGAAGGACGCGGAGTAGGAGGAGAGGAAGTACATGCTGCCGCCTCGGGGCCCCAGAAGGACCCCACCGGTCCGGGAAGGGGGCCCCCGGGTGGGCAAACGCCCACGCACGGGACGGACACACACCCCTCGTTCCAGGGGCAGACTGGCTCGGGGCACCCGCAGCCTTAGCAACGCATCAGAGTGGAGCCCCGGGGACGCCAGGAGGTCCTGGGGGCGTCTCAGGTTATTCGTGTGCGGGAGATTTCCCGCCACAGTCTCTTCAGGGTTTGTGGCTCTTTCTCGTGCAAACAACAAATAACCCAGGGGCAGCAAGTTTCAACGTATTTAAATAACAATCGAAAAATCACTGCGCACTACTCAGTGCTTTTTACACAGTCTCCAGCTCGCGTTCACACACATTCCCTCCCTCGGTCCCGAGGGTCGGGCCGGAGTCGGCGCCTCTATCCTGGGTGTATAAACGGTGAGAGCTCCCTGAGCTCCCGCAGCTCTGGGGGCACAGAAACGGCTCCCACATGGGTCAGCCCCTCTCAGCGTGCAAATCCTGTGCTCGGGAACGGGGGGGGGGGCTGGCGACGCCCCAGTTTGCTCCAGGTCCCCCCCCCACGGACCTCCAAAGCATTCATGGCCACCCGCCACGGAGGCGCTCACACTGACACCGCCTACCCGCCACCCACTGGCCGCACACACCTGTTCTGCAGCCCCAGTGCCCCGGGAAGACGTGGGGTCGACCCCAGAGATGTGCGTTCCCATCCGACACCCCGAGAGCCGACACTTGCCGAACCCCCGTGTGTCAGTGTTCGAGGTGGGGGGCCGGCCCATTTCAGCCAAGGTCAAGGTCCGCCCCGTTGTCTCCTACAGACTTGACTTGGGTCAGAACCACGAGCTGAGCGCATCGCAAATCGCCACGCCAGTGCCACGTGGCTGTCTCTGCCACGCCAGGCTGCAGTGGCCCGGGCCCACGGGCCCAGCCTTCTGACCTCTGTGCACGTTTCTCAAAGGAAACAAGAAGTGCCGTGCAAAGGAACTGTCTCAGTGACCGAGGTCTTCCCTTCCAGGGCCCCTCCTCTCAGCCCTCGGGGTGGGGCGGCAGAGACTGTGAGAGCCCACGGCGCCAGCCTCACTGCCCCGCCACCGCACACCCCAGACCAGTGGGGACAAGTCCCCGAACGCCTTCCCGGAGACAGGGCTCTTCTCAGCCGCAGTCCATTTTCCGGGTCATCGCTCACCCTCTCAACGCCCCACGCCGTCTAACAGTCCTAGCCAGGGCGGCATCTGCTCATCGGTCCTTACTTCCATGCCTTGACATTTTTATTTCCCTTTGCAGTCTCGAACTGAAGCCCTCGGAATTGCCAGCAGTCACCATAACTGCGCCAATTCCAGGCCCCTGTCTCCAGGAGTCCCAGCTGCGCCTCCGCTGGCTAAGTCAGACCTGTGCTTCCGGACAGCGCGAACCCGGGAGCGGGCCGGCTGCCCGCTTCCAGAGGAGACGCTCAGGACTGGGATCTGCTCTGGCTGCAGTCGTGGGCTCTTCGGAAAGTTTCTGTAATGACGAACCTTTGAACAGCCCGACAGGGAGAACAAGCGAATTCTAAAGGCAACAGGAGCGACCAGAGCGGCCGAGGCTGCGGCTGCGAGAGCCCCCGGCATCTGCCTGTCTGCACCCTGGGGCAGTCCCGGGTGGAGACCCAGGAGAGCTCGGCCGACCGAGGGGCGGACAGGGAGTGGACTGGGCAGGTGAGGAGGATGGGACCAGGCATCGGCGGTCTCTCCTTCCTCCCACCTGAGATGAAACTGCAGGACAACCTGGAGCCTCACCATCAAGCCAGGTCTGCCATGACCTGCAGGAGCCTCCGGCTGGAAAGGCACAGAACATTCCCCGGCATCTCTGAGTTCAACCGACAGGCCCTGCACCCCTGGGCCACGCAGACGGAGTCTCGGGCCCTCACCGAGGCGTCCGAGGCGGGGGGCGGGGGGACGGAGGCGCCTACCTCGCAGCCGTCCCTGATCATCCACTCGATCACGCCGCAGTGACCCCCGTCTGCGGCCCAGTGCAGAGCCGTGCAGCCCCCCAGGTCTCTGGCCTTCCAAGAGGCGCCGTGTCTCCGGAGACACTTCACAACTTCCAGGTGCCCTGCGTAGCAGGCCAGCATCAGGCTGCAACAGACGGGGGAGGAGCGTTTGGCCACAAGCCCAGGGGTCCCACCTGCACCTGGTGACCAGGCCGGCAAGACGTGGCCCATCCGTCCTGCGGATTATCACTTGGCTGTAAAAGGCAGTGAAGCACTGATGACTCCTGTAAAACACTCTGACGAGTGGAAGGCGACAGAGGCAACATGCCACATACACATGGTTCCCGGTGCAGGGGCTGGCAGAGCAGGTCTATGGTGATACCGCTGTTGCCGTCACCGCGGCCTGCCTGCTCTTCTGCACGTGCACAGCTGGAGACCCGCTCCTGCCCAGGCCTGTCTGGGAGGGTCCAGAATGGGTGGGTCTCTGGACACAGGGAGCGGGTCCATAGTCGCCTCGGGCCGGGGCGGGGAGAGGAACGGGGAGAGACCGCTTCCTCCCAGGCTGGTGAAGCCAAAGCCAGCGCCCTGGGCGCAGACGGCGGAGGGGGCTGCACGGCGGGGCCGTAGAGTTTCAGACACTGAGACACACGTTTTAAAGGGGAAGATTTCATGGTACATGAATGACATCTCGACAAAAACCGATCACGGTAACGGAGTAAAACATGTGATTCTAAAGCACCCACCAGGCCACGGTGATACTCAAAACAGAGTAAGGAGCTGGTTTGATAGTTTGCTGTCCAAGAAGAGGCCTCTGTCCTTTCTCTAACATGACTACTGAAGAAGACAACCGTGCACTCCGCTGAGAGAGGGCGAGGTGCAGCCCCACCCCCGGCTGGTGAGGAGAAGCCCCTTCTCACAGAGGCCCGCCCGCCGACAAATGCAGAAGGCATCATGGGACTGGAAAGTCCCTTCTTTGCACTCTCGGGTCACCCGAGACGTTGGGGAAGTAGGTGGGACGATGACGTGGGTCCCGGCTTTAGGAGACCCGACTGGGGCACTGAGGGGTGGGAGGCTGGGCCGCCTGCCACGTTACTGGGAAGGAGTCAGGCGCCCCAGAAGCAAATAAAAATGCAAAGAGAAGCGAATGCGGCAAAATGCCAACGACCGGCAGACCGAGGAGGCGAGGATGCAGCTGTTCATTGAACACTGTTCTGTTGACTTCTCCGGACGTTCGAAATTCTCAAAGTAGCGAGTTGGGGTGTAGGGGAGGAAGGTCTCCCCAACAGGAAAGACAGTTCGTAGCAGAATAAGCTAAAAACTAATATAAAAATGTTTAGTCCTGCTAGTGATAAAAAAAATTAAAAGTTTCAAGTTTTCCACCAAGTCCCTGAGGAATTCATCCAACACCCAGCACAGGCCCAAGCCCAGGGCCCACGCGCCTGCGTCCCCATACAGGCCTTCCTCTCCTGAGACCCCCGAGAGGGCGGCCTGTCACCTGCCCCGGGGTCGGGGGCTTGCTGCGGGTGGGTACGGCCAAATTGCTTTCCAAAAAGTTACATGAGCTCACCTTCCTGCCAACCGTACCTGGAAGTGCGCACCGCGCTCACCCCAGACCAATACTCGTACCGTCTTCTGATGGACAGTGTCGTGGGTAGGCCGTTTTTAATTTTTTTATTACTCTCAGAGCTACACATCTGTCCTATTCATTTTAACTTATTCTGCTATGAATTGTCTTTTTGTGTAAACTGCTTTGTTCTACTGTGTATTTTAGAAAGGGGGGAAGGAAGTTAGAAAGAGAGGGAGAGAAACATCAATGTGTGGTTGCCTCTCACTCGCCCCCTACTGGGGACCTGGCCTGGCAACCCAGGCACATGCCCTGACTGGGAATCGAACCTGTGACCCTTTGGTTCGCAGGCTGGCGCTCAATCCACTGAGCCACACCAGCCAGGGCTGTAATTAAGTTTTTTTAAATGAGTAATGTATTCTTAATCTTCTCCTTAGCGATTTCTTGTAATCCTTTTGTCTTTCACATTATAAGATCGGATAGATACATGCCTATGTTTTCTAGTTGTTTTCTATGGTATCGATTTTTACATTTAATTCTTAATTCACCTGGAATTGTTTTTGTGCATGCTATAAAGGCCAGGATTCACCTTAATTTTTTTTCCTTCAAATAGCCTATTTTTTCAATATCTTCCTCATTGGTTTGCGTTATTCTCATCAACAGTACCCATTTCAATAAAATGATCAAATCTACTGTTTTAGATGCAAATGCACCATTTTCATTTCATGTTTAAATTTCCTCTATAACCACCATTACATACCCTTTCGATTTTCTAATTTTTTTTCTGTCTTAGATTTACAAGAAACTGGTCTATTTTATTACAGAGATTTTTAAGAGGTTTCACTCCCACTTCTCAATCTTTATTGTTTAATTAATCAATTTCTCCTGCTATTTTCATTCCTTCTCCTGCCTCTCAAGTTTTCTCACTTTTCATTTTCCTTTTTAAATCGATATTATTCTCTTTAGGACTTCTAGAGTTGATGGTTTAGTTCCACAATTACCTAAGAGCTCTGTGGAACACTAATGTTTCAATTTGCAAGTGGTTTTTAAACTGAGTATTCAAAATCTCTCTGGGCCTTGTGTCCAGGGAGCACGGGCAGCAGGCTGCTGGTTCAGCAATCGGCCAGTGTCCTGGAGAGAGCCTGGGCCCAGTGCTGGGGGGGGCGGGGGCAGCGCCACGTGACCAGCGCCGGCGTGAACTCCGCACTGCCTTCACTGTTCTCCCCAGGTGCCACGCACACAGAGCCGGGCACGCGGCAGACACCCAGTAAACACTGGTTGACTTAAGTAGTTAAACCTGATCACTAGCTCAGTCATCGTTTTTTAAGCCTTTCTCGAACATCCCTTCACCTCTGGAAGTTATGGTTTTGGGTAAGCTCCTCCTGTAAGGCACTCCGCCCGCTGCCCTGAGGGGGGTTCTCAGGTTGTGTCTCGTGATCACAGGGAGCGTCTTTGGAGACACTGGACCCCGAGGCAGGGAGAGCCCTCGGGGAGGCGCAAAGCGCCCAGGGGCACGCTGCCCGGTGCCCGGCACAGAGCCGGCGGCCACGGTGCTGGTATCCATCACTACCGAGTTCTCTGCGTGTGCTGGGCACCAGCCGGGGGAAGGTGCGTACACGTAACAGACGCCCCACGGACACCCCGCTGAGTGAAATGACGAGGGGACGAGTGAACGTTTTTTTGTCGTTCCATCTGGCCTTTGTGAGATGGTGCTTGACCTCCCCCACTGTCAGACAACCCCCCAAAACCACATCGCATCTTTGCAGTAAACGAGAACGGCTCTGGGCAAAGCCCAGGAACACGAGTCTGGGGGTATTTAGGGCCCATTCCCATCACCTACCTGTCCTTGCCACTCCCGTTCCTCAGGTTCACGTCCGTGCCATTGGAAATGAGGAGTTTCACGAGCCTGGGGGAAAGGATGTGGGTGGAGCTGGGTTGGGAGATTCCACTGGCCGAGCCGGGACCCACACCCAGCTCAGTGTGTGTCAGACACAGCTGCACCCGTTCCCCTGCCGTCCACGCGGGCCGCCGGCCGCTTTCAAGCCCAGGTGTTATTAGGCCGGAGAGCAGAAACCTGCCTCTCTGCACCAAAGAGAAGAAGAAAGGCTGCCCTGGCTGGTAGGGCTCTGTTGACTGGAGCTTCATCCTGTAACCCAAAAGTCGCAGGTTCGATTCCAGCCAGGGCACGTGCGTAGGTTGTGGGTTTGATCCCTGGGCCGTGCTTGGGCACAGGCAACAGCAGGCCCAGACTTGTATGACCCCTGGTACGGGTGCATCTGGGAGACAGCCCGCCGATGCCCCTCTCTCGCAAGGATGCTCCTCTCGCCCTCCTTCCTGTCTCCCCACTCCCTCCTTCTCCCCACTCCCTCCCTCTCCGAAAGCAGTGAGAAAAAATGTCCTGGGTGAGGATTAAAAAAAAAATGAGGTTTTACCCTTTACATAAATTATCCGCTGAAAACAAACTATACCACACAAACAAACCGGACCATCAAACCACAGTTCACTGTCAATTTAATGACCACTTTAAGTACATCTTCAAATGCCAGCACTGAATGAAAGTCAATTTCTTTTTTTTTTTCACAACGGCATTTTAGTTAAACTATAAATATGATTGAAAAATAAGCTATTAGTATTTAAGTCTATCTCCATGTGGAACAGAGAAAATAAAGTGTATCAGTGCAAATGATATCTCAGCAACCCATCAGGGAAGTTCATTTTCCAGAATTCATATCCCTCGCCTTCCTTTTTCTTTCTTTAAAGAAACTCAGATTCCAACAACCAGTTGTCTCAGGATACGTAAAATATAGTGTAACACGTAATTAAACAGCGACCCCTCTTCCTCGCCGTGTGATTAGACGTCCTTACATTCTCTCCTCCAGATCACGTACCTTGATGAGGAGCACGGCTGACTTTCTGCTCAACTGCTTTTTATAGGGCACGGTTTCGGAGAGAGAGAAAAAGGGGGTTCCCCCATCACCCTCTTCCTCCCCTCCACAGGCACCTTTGGGAGAAGGCCCCGCCAGCCCCCACAGGGCCGGCCCGCGGGGTGGCCCACCTGGTGTACCCTTTCTGCGCCGCCACCATCAGCGCCGTGAAGCCCAGCTTATTGGGGACATCCACCTTCACGTTGCTTGGGAAGAACAAGAGAGGAGGTTAGCGTGCTGGGCGCGGCTCCCCGGAGATCAGCAGCGGGCGTCTCCTGCGGGGCCCGGGGGGGCGGGGGGGGGCGCTAAAATGGTTCCTTTTACTAAAAAAATCCCAATTCCTTCTGGGCCATGACATTTGTCTTGTCCTGGGCTGCCCTGCCGGATATTTTAAAAGACTCAAATTCACAAGCACAGGAGAGGAGATTGCTGTCATTTCACTTCAAAGAGGCGTCCCCTACCGCTCGAAACCATTCTGCGAGCCAATAAAATGCTCCTCGGGGAGCAGAGCCCCCTCCGTGGGCGAGGACACCATCTCCACGCCCGCCCTCCGCTCCGGGGGACCGGAGCCTCCATGGCGGCCGCCCTGGCTCTCCCCCCCCCCGACCCCCACGTCCCCCACGGGCGTGCAGGCCCGCTCCCCACGGAGAAAGCAGGGCCCTTGCACACCAGCCTGGCAGCTTTGACGTTTTGTGGGAACCCTCTCTTCCCCAAAGTGCGGAGCCCCAGTTCACACACAAACTGTCTTCCAAGGCACTCAAAACGACCGGTTCAGAAAGAATCCATGCGACCCGGCGGGAAAAAAGGCAGGAAATCTTTCCACCTGGCACGGGCGACGTGGGTGGGCCCAGGGAGCCTGGTGCTGGGTGAAGTCAGCCGGTCAGAGAAGGACAACACCGCGTGATTCCACCCCGACGTGGGATCTCCTGAACAGAACGAACCCACCGGCGACACGGAGACAGACTCAGAGATACAGGGAACGGGCTGGGCAGGCATTTCTGAAGAGCCAGGAGCTCTTTCTGGGACGATACGGGGACGCCCAGACGCGTAACCTCCTCTTTCGGCTTGTGTTAGTCACCAAGGAGCGCACCGGGCACGCGGCTCGGTCATCGGGTTCGCCAGCCGCACCGGACGTCCCCGGGGCACCCGGGCTCGAGTTTGCAGCCAGTGCCGAGGGCCTGGGAACCCCTCAGGGGACGCAGTAAAATAAAGCGGCACCCTGCGTTTCTCTGCGCTCCGTGGGCACGGACGATTAAACCTAAGAAGTTCAAAGGGCAGAGTCCTCTCACCCTCCTTGGAGCATGCGAACCAGCAGATCCTCGTCATTCATGTTGACCGCCCGATGGAAGTACTCGCTGCTCACGGGTTCTCCTGCGGGAAGGGGGCGGAAGGAAGTCATACCCAACGCACGGCGGGGTCCGGCCCGGTAACGCTCCTGTTTTATCACACAATCTCGCCTTACGAGATCGTCGGCGTGTAATTCTGCAACACGGTAACATCCCACTCGCGCACAGCAGAGGACACTTTAGGGGAAATGTTCAAATTGAAACTCTAAGTTGGGACACCCCTATTATCCCCCTACGCGCCAACCACACTCAGACGGGCGTTACTTCCGCCGGACCCTGGGGAAGGGAGGTCCGCCCCAGCCCCTCCCCCTCCCCCTCTGGCGCACGTGGAGGTTTGGGTTTGCCTCCGAGGGGGCACCGGGCTGGTCCGGCAAGGGCACCCCCATCTCCCATCCGAGGCCGCCTTGTCCTGAAGAGCACCTTGCTTTCACTTACTGGGAGAAGAACCACTTAGGTCGTCCTAAAGTCTTTGGGACGTTTTCAAATTGTAAACGTGTGGCTTCTGGAATGTGAAGTCACATTCGAAAATCACCCTCTTGGATGTCGTTAAGACTCAATGACTGTCTCCGGCGTGCGAGGGAGAGCTCCCCGACTGCCCCAGCACGCTGCGGTTTTCTCGGCCAGCGGCCAGCGTCTCTTACACGGCTCCCCGAGCAGCAAATGGAAACAAAACGGGCCGCTCTAGCGTTTGAGAGCCCAGTGTTCGGTCTCCCCGGGACCGGGACACTCACACCGGCCCTGTCTCCCCTGAGCCTGTGGGGCCCAGGGGTCCCACCCCACCCAGAGAGGCGGGGCGTGGCGAGAAAGCCCGGACGGGGGCGAGAACCCGCCAAGTAGGGCGGAGCGAGGAGCCGGAGCCCGGGAAAGAGCGCGGAGCCGGGGGAGGGGCCGGAAGGGGCCGGAAGGGGGGCGCTCCCTCGGGCGGGGGAGGGGCCTCTGCGAGGAAGGGGGCGGGGCCGAGGGGCCCGCATGGGCGGAGCGTGCGGGTGCAGGGGCGCAAGACGGAAGCCCGTCTCTCAAAACCTTTATGGCGAGGCTCCGTTTGTTTCCCGTTCCGTGACGGTCTGATTTTTAAGTAATTACGCTCAAGCTGAACGATATAATAAAGTGAGGGTCTTAGAACCTCACCGGGCCCGTCGCAAGCACCCAGCACGTGTCTGCTGCCGAGGGGACGGTCGGGGGCCAGCAGCCGCCCTTGTCCGCTGCAGCCCACCGGCCACTTCTGCCTCCCACGCTCAGCATACAGACCCGACCCCCACGGGCATGGGGCCGATTACGCCTCACTGTAGTCATCTTCGAGGCCTCACGTATTCATTCAACAAACGCTTACTAAACCTTCGCACTGAGGTCCCGGAGGGAATGGGTCAGCCCCGTGTCTCCCGCTTGCTGCTCGCGGTGCAGTGCCCACTTTCCGCCTGTTATTATTCTGAACCCCAAAGGACACGTCCCGGCACTGCAGCCTGGACTGCCTCCTGGGGCTCAGTGCACCCCTGAACCGCCTCTGGCAGTCTGGCCTGCAGGGGTCCACCGGCCTCACCTGCCCACCAGATGGGAAATACAAGCCGTACTCCTGCTCCATCTGGAGGAAAAGCTCTCCAGATGGAGCCCCGGGCCCAGGAGCCACGGTCCTCCCGGTTTCCCCAGAGGACCTCGGCTGGGCAAAGTGCAGACTGGGGGGCAGGGGGTGGGGGGCGGAAGGAGGAGGGATCGCCATCAGTGAGCCGGGACCGATAACCTCTCTCCTTTTCGGAAAAAACTCATTTCAGCCAAGTGAAAAATGTTTTGAAATAACAATTTTGTCTGCGAGAGCTTGCCAATGTCCTAAAGATTTTTTTAGCCACGTTATACTTCCTTTTCATCATTCCGCGCATATTTGTAGACCAAGGGCTTTAAATAAAAATATCACGATGAACTCTCAAAAGGCCGTGCCCACGCTGTCCCCGGCCTTCCGAGGGAGGTCGCGCCCAGCCCGGTGGTTCCGCTGGGGGCTGTGGAGAAGGGCAGAGGTTCCCTTCCAAAGGCATTTGGTAAAGTCTGATGGCGTTTTGGGTTGTCACCACTGAAGGGTAGGTGCTACTGGCACTGAGCAAATAAGGGCCAGGGACGCCGCAGGACAGCCGCCAGCGTCCACAGAGCCGAGGGGGAGAGCCTGGGCGAGAGCAGAGGGGAGGCGGAGGGACCGAGTCGGCAACTGCCCCCCCCCACCCCGCAGTTCAGGGGACAACGCAACCAGCAGCAGCCCCCTCCCCACTCGCTGCCCGGGAAGGAGGGGAGGAGGGGAGGGCGTGGCGGCGGGAGAGTCTCTTCACCGCCAAGCAGCCCCCACTTCAGGGACTCGCCAACTGTCGCTGCTGCTAAAAATACAGGGAATCTGCCCTGGCTGGCGTAGCTCAGTGGATGGAGCGCGGGCTGCGAACCAAAGTATCGCAGGTTCGATTCCCAGTCAGGGCACATGCCTGGGTTGCAGGCCACGGCCCCCAGCAGGCCCACATTGATGTTTCTCTCTCTCTCTCTTTCTCCCTCCCTTCCCTCTCTAAAAATAAATAAATAAATAAAATCTTTAAAAAAATAAAAAAATGAAAATAAATAAAAATACGAGGAATCTGCCTAAAATCCGCTGGAGGGATGGGGGAAGTTCCCTTACTCTCTGGGCTCCGTTTCGGAGTCTGGCGTCCTTGTGGAAACCCTACCGACTGCAGCTGCGTCCAGGACCTCACACGAGGGTCCTCATGTCCTCCTTCAGCCCACAGCCCCGGGAGCCAGAGAGGCCCAGCAGGTTGCTCTCGGTCACCCAGGCAGACCTCGCCCGGCCACACGCCCCCCTGGGGTGCGTGGTGTGCGTGGAGGCGGTGAGCCAGTCACCACACGCTTCCACTCCCACGAAGGGTTGAATGCAGCCGACATCGGGAATAAGCAACTGTGACGCCCCCACCCCCCGCACCCCCGGCGAAGTGTTCAGGGAAACAGGTGCCTAAGCCCAGAAGGCTTCGGAGAAGCGCTGACTTCTTGGGGTTTGGAAGGAAGGGGGTAAAAGCACACGCGGCAGCGTGCCAGCACGCTGAGGCACGCACCACGCCCAGCGCCCGCGCCCGTCTGCCCCGGCGGCCAGCACGGTGCTGCCCCCCAACCCGTGGGACCACTCTCCGGCGCGTCCCGCCCAGGAAGCCCCACGTGTGCGAGTGCTGGGACACGAAACAAGTTCGTTCTGTGCTCGGGAGCTGGGGGCCGTGCGTGGCCAGGCGCAGGGCCTGTGGATGCCAGGGTGTCGTCTACATAAACCTGTCACCTCCTCCAGCTCCCGCAGGAGGGGATAATCAGGCTCTCGTCACCTATTCTGAGCACCAAGGGACAGCTCCAGGAGGAGAGGGGTTCAGCAGAGCTGGTCATCACCCTGGCTCACTGGGTTCCAGCAAAAAGCAGCGGCGACAGTGACCGCCGCTCGGGGCACGGCAGCTCCTTCCCAGAGGTGCCTGGCTGACCCCTCGCAGCCGCGGGAGGGGAGGGGGTGCAGAGGTGGGCGGGGACGGGCCGAGGCACGGAACCGTCCCCATGTTTTCATGGGCTTGACAGAGCGACAGGACAGAAAGGGCTCTTGTTCGCAGAGCAGGGCAGGTCCTCCCGCTCCCGGCACCGGGGGAGAGGCGGGAAGAGCAGAGGAAACTCCGGGGAACCCCAACGCCGCACGGCTCCCGCCCCCGCGCCCCCCGAGACTCTGTGGGCCTGGCCCGAGGGATGGCCATCGGTCCGAGCATGTGGATGCAAGAGAGGCAGGATCCGCCTTTGCTCTCCGCCGCTTACCCCGAGGGTGGCCTTTACCGATGTGGACCTGAGGCTGCCTGTGGGAAGGCAGTCACGGGGGCTCGCCGGGAGGACCACACAAGGGGACCACCATTCCCGGGAGGGGCGAGGGTGGGGTGGCCTTTGGGAGCCCCACGCGGGTCCTGTGAGAGGCTCGGTTAACTGCAGAAGGCATCACCCCCAGGCTGTAACGGGGCGATAACACCTCGCTCGGTGGAAGCTAGGTCTCCACTAACGGCGGTGAATGAGTGATGAGCTCATCGGAGAAGGGATTTGCCGATGAACAAGCGGTTTTTCTTTCTTTGTAAGGGCCCGGCTGATTAAAATTGCACGCCTCATTTAAGCAAGCGTCCGCGTGCTTTACCTGGGAAAAAAAGGCTGAGCGTTCTTCATGCAAACAAAGCGCGTGATTCGTGAAAACACTTTCAAACTGCCTGCACACGATCCACCCGCAGAAGCCCGTCCACCGTTTCGTGTCACATGCACACTTTTAGTTCTCTGCGTAGCACGCGCTGCCTCCCGAAGAGCGTCCGCCGTCGGCACCGTAACCGCAACAACAGGTGAGGGGGCGGCAGCCGGCGGGAGTGAGGGCCCCCGGGCCGAGAGCGCATCCCTCGCGCTGTGGCCTGACGGCGGGGAGCCCGGCGGCGCCCCGGGTCGGCCCCAGAAGCCCCGTCCCCATCGTGCCCTTGTCCCCGCAGGAGGTCCCGTCTCACTGCCCGTGGAAGCTTCAGGACGCAGGGACACATGTCCTGGGCCCCTGGAGCAGCGGCCTCCCGGAAGCCAGCCTGGCGAGGACACGGCCCACCCGGCCCCACTTGGCTCTTGTTAGCTGCCAGACGGGCCGACGGTGGCTCTGCAGTGACTCCGGCAGGAAGCCTGCGGGACGGTGCCCGGCGTGGCTGTGGTGCTGGGGCGGCGGTGGCCACCTGGGGCTCACCACGGTCCACCCCTCGCTAGTTCACCCGCACCCCGAAGGTCAGGGGGACCCTCCCAGCTGCCGTGAGGGTGAGCGGAGGAAGTCAGGGCCCGCCCTGGTCCTCTCGGTTCTGCCTCGGGCCTTCCCTTTCCCCGCCTGTCCATCCCCCCGCCCCTGAGGAGCAGGCTAGACAAGACTGGCCTGTTCCCCCCATCCCCAGCAGCACACAGCAGGCGGCAGACTCCATAAAGCAAGACACAGGAGGCGCACTAGAGGAGGTGACACACGGAGGCTGTGTGCCGGGGGGGACCGAGGGGCAGGCGGGGGAGGGGAAGCCACGCGGGGGCTGGCCTTGAGCTGAGCTCTGCGTGGAGCAGGCTCAGCAGACGGGGTAGGGGAAGGGCTGCCGGTGGGGCACGCCCCAGAGCAAGGGGCAGAGGCGTGCGGGGGTGGCCTGGGGGTGGCTGGGGACAGCAGGAGGACAGGGGGGAGCTGGAAGGCGGCCTGAGAGGGCACCCAGCCCGGGACTCCCCAGTGCCAGCCTCTCCCCATCTTGCTGCCCGTCCTGCCACGCCACCTGAGTGGCACGTGCTCCGTGTCCTGAGTGAGGCGGCCACGCTTTTGCACCAACTGTGCACCCTGGGCAGTGGGGGCACAGACCAGCTCTGACTGTTGCACAAACTGACGTCCCAGATGACGGCCAGGCCCCGCCCGGGCCCGGGGCCGTCACGGTGTTGGAAAGTGGCATTGGCTCCGCCCCCAGAAGCGCACACAAACCGCAGGCTGCTGCGCCCCCCACCCTGCTTGCCGTCTGCTGGCGTCTTTAGATCACGGAGCTCTCGCGGGGTCGGCATACTCACTGGTCGTCGACACTGAGACCGCTGGGCTGTACTCATAGTCGCCGGAGGGGCTGGTCACCTTCAGCCGAAACCGGTACAGGGTCCGGGGCTCCAGGCCTTCCACGACGTGCTTCGTGGCGTATCCCCTGGACGGGAGGACACACACGGGACAGCAGGGGCTGAGCCGGCGTCCCCTGACAGGCGTGGGGAGGGGAGGCGCGGGTGCACTGGGAACGCCGGCTTCCCCGGCGCGGGTCTGAGCTCCCATGCCAGGCGGTGAGGGCCTTGATCGCAGAGGACACGCCTCTCGTGGCACCTCCGTGCCTCCCTGTGCAGTACCAGCTGAGGCCTCAGGACCCGGCGAGGTCCGGCTTCTGCGCCCTCAGAAGCTGGCACCAAGGAAGTTCGTTCAACTTCCCACGGGAGGGCGAGGCCGCCTGGTGGGGGGGACTCACCATGAGACGCCCGGCAGCGGAGGGAGGGGAAGAAGCCGGGTCCACCCCGCCGGCGGCCCCAGCCGCCCCAGCAGAGGCAGCAGACACTGGGGCACACCGTTGGGGTCCTCCAGGCCCGGCCAAGGCCACGGGGAGCAGAGACGTGCCAGCCCCACCTGCCCAAACCACTGACTCATGGAACACGCACAACAGTGTTTTACCCCAAATTTGAGGGTGCTCTGGTAGGCGGCAGCAGATAAACGAGGCATCATGTATCGACAAAAAAGAAACCATGAGAAAGACGGTGAAGAAACGATGCCAACGACATTTGAATTAAGAAACCACGGCACAGAGACGTGTTAAAAATAGATATAAATGCACTCACCCTAAAAGTAAAAGCTCTAAAACAAAGATCAACGTGCAGGAAAACTGAATGGGCTAAAACATAGAGACTTTAACATCTGAACTCCACCAGCTTGGCGCCCTTCGTCCCTGGGCGGGCGGGCGGGCCTCATCGCCGCGAGCCCGGGCCACGGCCACGGCCGCCCGACGCACAGACGCCGAGCCCCCAGCGGCCTGGGGCAGGGAAAAGGCCTCGAGGGGCTCACTGAGAACCCGCTACCCAGGTCTCAGTGCTAGGTGTCAAGGTTTAACACAGCTCTGGACCAAAACATAACCAGAAGGGCCCCCATAAAAGCCAGTACCCTGCAATATCAGGAGATCGCCCTGAAACCAGCAGCTCCTCCGTGACCCCTGGAGGGGAGAACTGCTCTAGAATACAGATGTTACTCAGCGCCTCTGGGGGGGCGGGGGGGCGAGGGGGTGGAGGCTCCCACCACAGTTACAGGGATGGCAGTGCGGAGAAAGCCGGGCACAGCAGGGGACACGAGGGACCCTTGGGCCCCTACAGTGACTGCAGCACAGAGGCGGGCGGCCAGCGGGGCCGTCCACCGAGCCTTGGGGGGGCTCCACCTACCCCACCCGGGGGCAGCCGCGTGGAGAACGAAGGAGTCTAACTCCTAACTTATAGAGTTGGAGGAGTTAACGTCCAACTCCCTCCGCGATGGAGGAAACTGTACAGTTTCGGGGGAGCGTGCCTTCTTTCTGTCACCAGTCGATAAGCAAATATTTGACGCGGAGCTGAGCAAACACAGAGTACGATGCACTAAGGACCGACGCCCCGGGACAGTCGTTACCAGCCTCCCCTCCGAGCCCCGCCCCCAGCGCCTGCCCCAGGAACCCCCCCTCCTGCACCGGCATTCCCGACACCCCGCCCCGAGCTCCTGCCGCACCTGCCCTCTCCCTGCCTCCGTCACTCTCACTGCTCAGGCCCCACCCGACCTGCGGCCGCCTGCACCCGCGGAAGACTGGACGGCTGGTCCGGAGTATTAGCCCCGCCCACCCCGAGAGTCTGTGCGCCTCCCCTGTTGCCGGCAGACGCAGCCGGGGGACTTGCTGGGGGTGATGAAGCAGCCGCAGAAGGGACAAGTGTCATTCTGCATAGAAGACTCAGGAAACGCCGGGCCACGCCCTCGTCCCCCGAGGCCACAAGGACGGACCCCCCTGAGGCAGAGCCCCCTCCCTCCCCTCCTGCAGCAGCCTGGGTGGGGGGCAGGGAAGACGCGCAGACCGCAGCCAAGCTGCGGGCGGGCAGCGAGCCCCGAGGGTCGGATGCTGGTTCCCAACACGGCGCACCGCATGCCCACTCTCTGTCTCAGCTCCCGTTCCCCATTTCCACGCCACAGGGTGGGGGGGGGGGTCCTCTTTGTCCAGCGCTGCGTCTGGCGCAGAGGACAGTCTCCTCGGTAACACGCGCAGAGAGAACGAATCACATGCGCGGTCCGGCCACCAGTTCTCCCAGGGACTCCGGGACAGGGCAGACAGGCAGGCGGGGGCGAAGCTGACTTGGACGGGACAGAGGAGGGGGCAGGGGCCAGCGCGGCCAAACAGGGAAACAGCCCAACGCTCCTGTGGACAAAGTCAAGGCCCAGGCGCAGGGTCAGGCAGTAAGTAGGTCCCCGGGCGCGTTCTGCTCGGAGGTGAGAGACAAGAGAGGCGGGTGTGGACGGGGGTGCCCGATGTCCGTCTAAGGAGCTGGGCCTTCATCCTCAGGGCGTCGGAGACCCACCGAAGACAACTCACCAGGAGGAAGAATGAAAAGGCAATGGGTGGAGCACGGCAGAGCACGGGGATGGAGGGAAACGCCCACTTCGTTCAAGCAGCCACAGTGCTGGGCAGCCGAGGGCCTGAGGACACCGCAAAGCCCCGGTCGGAGTAGGGCGCTGGCTCCTCGTCGGGGGTGATGCCACCATGGGGGGGGGGGGGGGCGGCGCACAGAGAGGTTCGGGAAGGGAGGATGCCCAGAACTCTGTGACAGCTGGGAGGAGGCCCGAGTCAGAGGCCAGCCGGCTGGCAGGCGCCGCGGGCAGGAGCCGGCCAGCCAGGAAGGGGCTCTTCAGCCCGCGATCCCAAGGCGGGCAGGTGCTCTAGACAAAAAAAAATCTCGTCAGAGAAAGGCACTGGCTGGTGCTAAGGACAGCTGGAGCGAGGGATGGAGGTTAACACAGTCTCATCCTGCCACCTAGTGGCCGGGTTTGCATCACTCGATTCCCTGGCGCAGGTGCCCAGAGCACCTGCCCGGCCCGGAGCCTCACCGCGGCCCCCCCAAAGGCCGGGTCAGCACCCCATTGCGCCCCCACGGACAGCACTCAGGTCTCCACGGGAAAACAAAGCAACGCCAACAGAAACACAGGGTCGCTTTGCAATACGGCCGTTAAAGGGAAGAAATAAGAGTTGGAATGGAGACTAAGAAAAAAATGACGGATTTATTCCTGCTGCATCCTCGTATTTATCCCTGCAGCGGACAGCCTGCGGGGCTGCGGGGCCCCGACACCGCCCAGGAGCTGGGGCAGCCGGGGCGAGGGCGGAAAGCAAGCAGCGGGACTCCGGTCTGCCTGCCGCTGGGTGCGAATGCCGGGTCGGGGGACGGGAAACAAACGAGGTGAACCCGTCCCCTCGGAGCTCAACGTCAGGAGGCGTGGAAACAAGGTCCGGGGAGAAGGAGGGCCACTTGCAATGGCCCTTTGGGGGGAGGGGGAGCACCTCTCTGACGGGCACCGGCCCTGTGAAGCCAGAAGGAAATGTGTTCGAGGTCAAGGCAACAAGGAAGACCTGCCGTGGGACCGGTGTGGCCTGACCGAGACAGAGGGGCAGTGGGCTGTTTGCAGGGAGTTAGTTAACAAGGGTCTGGCAGTGGGGCTTGAGGTCGGCGAGCTGCCCCGGGGAGACATGCGGGACCCCAGCCCACCTCTGCAGACGGAACGGCCTGATGGGACCCTCGCCTGATTGCATCAAAGTCTCCTTTACCCTGCCTCTATGTTTCAGAGTGTTTGAATACACCATTAGAACATTTCAGAAGCCAAGGAAGCTCCCAAAGGTACAGGAGGTTTAATTCCAAGGTTACTGCTAAAGCTATTTTGCAAAAAAAATCATTATCTAGAAAAAGCAGGAATGCAACCAAGGCTGGCTTATTCTCTTCTTTCATCTCAAAACGAGTCTCTTGCAAGACACTAGAACCCAGCCCAGCCACTCAGGAAACCAAAGGACCGTGTTCAGCGGCTCAGCGTTGCACCTACGTGTAAATGACACCATAGGTGTGCATCTTGGGGTCTTCCTCCTCGATGGAGAAGCGGGACCACTGCTCCTGAGGCCCTCGGCGTGGCGCCCACTGCTCCGGGTCCCAGTACAGCTCGATGCTGTGGTGCGTCACCTTGCCCACCACGGGCGGGTGAGGCCTCAGGGACGGCGTGGCTCCTGGAAAAAGAACGGTGCAGGTTTCAGGACCCCCTGGCCACACGGGAGAGAGGCCAGCTGGGTGCGTGACCGCTGCTGGGGGTCAGCCCTGCCTCCCTGCCCCTCGGGCGTCCACGCGAGCATCCCCTCCCCCGCCCCGTGACTTGGAGGACGTCTAAACAGCTGGTGTGAGGGACACTCGGCTGACGCCATGGTGAGCTACCACATTCTTCAACGAGCCAGTGGCCTCGCCCCCATTAGTACCAGCCCCCTCACTCGGGGACCCCCCTCCCTAAAGGCCAGTTCACGTAGCAGACTGGGCAGGCCGCTCCCTGAGCTGGTGACACTCAGGTGGCTGCGAGGACCCTGCAGAGAACTGGCTGGCGGACAAAGACAAGAGACGAGCACTTGGGCCGGTCCGAGTGTGCGACGCTCGGAGGAGAGACGGGTGGGTGTCTATATTCTGTGTCCACAGTCCTCCCAGACCCGTCAAGAGGAGTCCCCGAGGCTGACCACCAAACAGGCACAAGGCGAGCAGAGCTCAAAACTGCACAACCAGAACAACCACCATATCGTCAAAGAGGTGTTCGTGTCCCCCGGTGGCCACAGAGATTGATAGCAGCGGGGTGTCACTTAGCCCCCCAAAATAAACTTCAGATCTAAAGTGCATGTGTACTGTGTGTACACACTGTGTGTGACTTCTCATTATAAAAAATGTTCAAGTGTGTAAAAAGGTAGAACGCCTGGCTGGACACTCACAACACGTCCCAACTCTCGGAAGTGGCAGTGCGGGCCGAGCCCACGCACACTCTGGTGGTCGGGCACTACGTGGGGTGCAGCTTCTGTAGAAAGCAGCGACTCGGCCTCTACGAAGGTTAGAAGGTGCGCGCCCTCCTCCGCAGCCCCCCCACCCCCGGCAGCCCCTCCTGCCGGGTCCAGAACGCCGGCGCACGGAGGGACATGTGCACACACAAAGGTTTCTACTGTTCCCGGCAACTCACAGCAGAAACAAAGATAAAAAACCCTGACTAAGGGAATGGTCCGACAAAGGATGGCACGTCCGCAGCGTGGACTATTTATTACGCAGGGTTTGCGAGATGAACCTGCTGTACACTGGACGCCTGGAAAGGTTTCCAGGAGACATTGCTGAAGGAGAAGTTGAGACGCAGAGAAAATTCGGAATAGCCCATTCTGGGGAAAGCCGGCCAGGGGCACAGCACAGCTGCCCCGAGTCACACGCGGACGGTGGTGGTTTCATGTACTTGTTCCACCTCTCCGCCCAGAGTTTGAGTTCCCCGAGAGCCGGGCTCGTATCTTACACTTCTTTTAAAACCTGAGCCTTTCCCTCTGCCTCTCAGGCCTCGAAAGTGTCACGGATCCACCACGCAGGTTACTGGGACAGAGAGGAGCTTGTTTGTGCTTCCCTGATGCCTCCAGCAGCTGCCCCCGCTCCTGCAGCCCCGCCCCACCCCCAGCGGGAGGAGACAGGGCTGCCCTGGCCCCGGCCGCCCCTGGCCAGGAGGGCCAACGAGGGCCACAAACCCCCTTCACGTTCAGACCCCAGAGCCACACGGGGCCGCCTGCGAGCCCGAGTTCGCCAACTTCATTTTCCCGACACGACGAAATGCGTCGTCGCATCACACGGAACTGGGGGAACGTGACTTTGAACACGTAGGCGGAAACTGAGTCAAAAATACTTCCCTCGGAGAGTTTTGTACTAACTGAGCAACCGGTCGGGCCGTGCGAGCGCCAGAAACGGTGTTGGCCGCGAATGCGTCCTGGAGAGGGAGCAGTTCAGCCACAACAGCCTCGTAGCGGAGACAGCCTCTCCACACACACGACAGAGGGCAGCTAACGCGAGCTTGACTCCAAACGGTCACACTGCTTTCGTAAAATGGGGTCCCACCAAACCCTAACAGATGAAAGGGCCAGGACCTGTCGGAAATAACCACCAGTAAACACAGCGAAGAAAACCTCCGAACTTTCTGCTAATCCACAAGGGGGGAATTAAAATAACTGCGAGGCTCCATCTCGCCGGCACACGTGGGCGGAGACCGCGCGACGCCGCGCCCTGTGCCAGCAAAGGCTGCGATGAACCTGGTCCCGCGGAGGCCCGAGGACCGCGGGGCACACGGGCCAGCCCTGCAGGAACGCGGTGCGGCCCCCCCAGTCAGCGTGACTGTGACCTGTCCCAGCAGGTGGCCCACTTCCAGGAGCCCGTCCGAAGGAAATAATCCAACCCCCTAAAATAAACTTCAGATCTAAAGTGCATGTGTACCGTGTGTACACACTGTGTGTGCCTTCTCATTATAAAAAGTGTTCAAGTGTGTAAAAAGGTAGAACGGAGAGTGAAAGTCGAAAAGAAAGAAAGAAACAAGTTTGCACTCACAGTCCAAATTCCCCTACCACTCCGAGCCCCGGTGGTGCCACCGCTCCGAGCCCCGGCGGTGCCGGGACTTGCCGGGGCACCTGAGAAGCAGCAAACCAAGGCTCAAGCCCAGGCGGCAAGACCGCGGAGCCAGGCCCTGGGCCTGCCCCTGTGCTGTCTGCTGCCTGGGTTCAACTACATGCATGCACACGTGCGCACACATGTGATCACATACAGTAGAAACCGAGAGAATCCCTGTAGCATCGCTGAGAGCAGCAGGAGCTACAAAAGCCACCTGTATGTCCAAACCAGGAAATGTGTTACGTGGGCGGTGGCGCAGCAGCTAAACGCCAGGCTGTGTCGGCCGCCACGAGCCCAGGGACGAATGCAGAGCAACGCCAAGGACGGTGGACACGCTCAGGGGAGAACACAGTTTGCACAGGCACCGTGACTACAGAGCTATTAGGTGTAAAGATGCACACGGAAGAACTGAAAATGAACTTAGAAAAAAATGAAGGGCAATTACTGTAGCAGAAGGATGGCTGATTCGGGGGTAAATTTTATTATTATAGCACTGAATTTAAAAAAAAAGTAACTGCGCCTTTCCACGTGTCCTGGACGGAAACGAAGGTCAGCCCAGACGCAGGCCGGTGCGGACTCCTCCTCCACGAGCTCACGTGTGTGTGACAGAGACCAGTTGGGGGGAGGTAAACCGAGAGCGAGTCGGCGTGGGTGCTCCACAGCACGAGACGTTTTTCAGCTCCATTCTGGCGTCATCTGTCGACCATTCTGGTGCTAATGCTCCGCCTCACAGTTACTTCCAGGGGGTCAGAATACGTCCGTGCCTTCAGTGCATCTGTGGGACACCTACTATGCGTCCCGAGGGCACGGCCCAACCAAGACCCCAGGGAACCCTGACTCCAAACAAGCACACGCCAGGCACGTGCCCGTGGGGAGGGGGAGGCCTTGTCGAATCGGGGGTGGCGTGACCCTCTCTGATCTTGGGGGTCGGGTGCCTGTCAGTGAGGTTGCAGGGATCGGGGGGACACGTCCAGCAGAACCCGTGGGCAGGCAGTGAGCCGTCCGTCGAGAACATTTTAATTCGCATAGAAAAAGCTCATGTTTTTACTCCCAGGCATCCTTATCTTCCGAAAAACAAAACATAAAATCCCAACTGCCCCAAGCCCCTTTCTCACCGCTTTGCTAGGAAGCTCTTGGAGACCAACACTCAGCTCAGACACCCAAAACCAAGCAAAGGAACAGAAAAAACTGAACCAAACCCAGAACAAAAGACAGCGCCTCCTAGAGTCACAGTCCGGAACCTCGGCTTCCATCTTGCCCCCCCCCCCGCCCCCGCACGGCCCTTCCTCATCAGGAACGTGGAGACACCTACGGACGCCTGCCTGCCTGCCTGCCTCCCTCTCACGCTTGCTGCAAACAGAAATGACGGCATAAAACATTGAAATGTGATCAGAAATGCATAAGGGGCTTCAGAGACACACGGCAGAGGCAATGCTCTTGAAATGTCCACCTGCTTTTTTCACTTCCTGCTACCTGGAGCCCCCACTGGGATGCCACGCGGGCGGTAGGTAGTCGGCGGAGAAACCACGGTTCGCTGCGGGCTCGCCCTGGGCCAGGCGACGTCCTGGGCCCCTGACCCACGCTGCGCCTACACCCCACAGCAAGCCCAGGGGCTCGGGCCACGGGCGGGGGACACGGGGAGGAGGCGGAGGTGCAAGGCCGCGGGACCCGGGAGCGGGAGCTGGGACGCAGCTGGTCTCCGCCTCCACGCGCCGGGGCGGGGTGTGAGGCTCCAGAGCTCTGCGGTGGGGACGAAGAAGGTTCGCCGTGTGGGAAATGAACCCCAGTGGAATGGCAGAGGCCCTCACGGTCAGGCAGGAAGAGTCGAGTCGCTCCTTACGGTCCTTAGACTCAGCGCGTGTCCCCGGGGATTAAAGCACCTTCATCGTGAGAAGGGTCAGGTAGGTTAACAACGGCGATGGGGAAGGTTCACAAGCACGTGCTCAGCTCACGCCCACTGTTAAGAAAGCCGCAGTGCCGCAGGAGGTGGGCGGCGCCAGCAGACACGAGGTGCCCCTCGAGGACCCTCAGCACGGCCCCTGCGGACCTCTTAGGTACTGTGGGAGCGGGGACTGCAGAGTCGGGCTTGGTTTTTTAAGTCATGTATTAGATAACAGCCACACGAGGCTCTGAGTGGGGGGCTGAGGAGTACAGCTTTGGGGTCCATTTCAGGTCAACTGAGTACGAAACCCTGAAGGGGGGTTTTGTTTGTTTGTTTGTTTGATTGATTGATTTTTACCCCCACACATAAGCCCACGTTCTGGGGGTACGCCTCCACCTCCGCCTGAAACCTCACGTCATGTCCGAAGTTTCCGACATCCACCGTCCACGCAGCTGTTCACACACACGTCTCAGGAGACGCTCGTGAAACGCTGTGCACAAGCTGACGTCATTCAGGACGACTTCACTGGCTCTCGCAGTCCTCGCTCTTCCCCTTGGCTGGGTGCTGCAGAGTCAGCGTCCGTCTGACTGTCTGTCTGTCTGTCCTCCACCGCCCCGAGAGCTCTGGGTCTCTGTCTGCGGCCTGGAGAACCCCACCCCGGCACCGCAGCTCAGCGCTGGGCCGTGGATCATCGGGGTTTCGTGTGACCTCAAACTCAGCCTGTTCAGCATTGAACGTACTCCCCCCCGCAGAGCAACGCCCTCCAGACGAGGTCTTTGCCGCCGCTGGCAGATCATTCGTCCCCCGCCCGCCCCGGCGTGGACTCGGGGGATCTCTCCTCTCCCCTGAGCTGCTTGCGCTCTGTCCTCTCCCCCGTCCACAGTCACGGGGCTTCGTGACTCCTGCTTCTTCCTCGTGGAAAAAGGCCGCGCAGGGTGACCGATTACAAGTGCGAAATCTGCTCCGTCCGCCACCAGGGCAAGGGCCCTGGGACCCGACACCTACCTCCTTCCCTTCGGGTGCGGAACATTCCGCACGTCACTGCCCCGCAGCCCTGCTGGGGCTGCGTGCGTCGCCTTTGCTCCTGTCCTGCCCCTGGAAACCACCCTCTGGGCGCCCCACTCTTCCCGGAACGGGGGCCTTCCTCGGCTGTGGCTGAGTTACAGCTCGGCCGCCCCTCCGCGCAAAACCAGAACAAGCACCCGCCCCACCCTTTACCTCCCCGTCTGTCGGGGCGGACAGACAGACAGACACAGGGGGTATTTGGTCTCATAACTAGAGAACTCACAAAGTTGTTGAGGTTTCAAGGAAAACCGGAAAATATTTTCAACTGGATGAAAAGAACAGCTTATCAAAATGTGCCCTTTGAGGGAAATCTGTAGCTCTAAGTGATTATATCAGAAAGGAGGTTATTCAGGCAGTAACCGGAACATCTACTTGAAGTAGAGAACGAAGAGCAGAATAACCCCAAATCCAAGCAGGAGGAATGCAAATAATATCAGGTCAGCCGAAAGTCTCCATGGTGTTTTCCATAAAATAAAACACACACTTTTCCTTTTCACCAATAGCTTTGTTGACTGGGATGTTTTGAGTGTGTTGGCTGTCTCCCACTATTGGCTTCTAATGGGCAGAGGCCAGGGCACTGCTGAACATCTTCCAGTGCAGAAGACGGCCCCACGGCAGAGAACTGTTTGGCCGGAATGTCAGCCGTGCAGGAAACTTTGGAAACCACTTTGACATGTTTGATCTGCCACAGCGCCTTCTCCACACACTGCACAAATTTTTTTTTGCGTTTCAGTTGCATTTTTTTAAAGGTTTTATTTATTTATTTTTAGAGAGGGAAATAGAGAGAGAAACATCAATGTGCGGTTGCTGGAGGTCATGGCCTGCAACCCAGGCATGTGCCCTGACTGGGAATCAAACCTGCGACACTTTGGTTCACAGCCCATGCTCAATCCACTGAGCCAGGCCAGGTCAGTTGCACTTTTTTACCTTTCTTGAAATAATAAAGCATAATATGCTAAATATGTTGCATATTTTCTTTCATCTTTGCTATTAAAATGGCTGCACAAAATTTCACCAATTTTGATGAGTTTTTTTTAAATGCACGCTGATACAACAGCTGTCACGCTATAATCTAACAAAATTGTTTCAAATGAAGTTAAAGACCACTCACTGGACACTACTAGAGCCATCGTATGAAAAAACGTAACAGACTCTTTGGCCCACACAACACTAAACAAGAGACTACATCAGAAGATTCAAAACAGAAAAATCAATAGGCCCCAAATATGGTTCTTTGAAAAAAAATCAATAAGGTTAATAAACCTCTAGTCAGACTGACCAAGAAAAAAGGGAGAAGCCCCAAGTCCCAGGGCCGGGGACGAAAGAGGAAACAGCACCACGGAATTAGGAAGCTGATGAGAGAGAGCGCCAAACGAAGATGGTGCGTCTAAATTCCACATGTTAAACAAACCGACGATTCCTCCAGGACGCCAGGATGCCACACCAGCATGCGCCTCCGACACGATGATCGTTTTGAGCTGAAGAAAATCAAGCAGCAGCGAACACAGGGATAGCTCTCTGCCTCCCCCATCTCCCGCCAGGACAAAAGGCAGGACCGGAGTCCTTCCTGCACTGGACGCGGATGCCCACCGGCGGGGAGCTGGCACCGAGGGAGCCGCAAGCAGCCTCTCCGC